AATGATAACGTGGTCGACAACTGCTCGGTTCGTCTCTTATCTCCCTCCTCCAAAGAATTTCGAGTTTATTTATTAAATCCCTCCCATAGATAAAAAATAAATAAATAAATATATAAGCAAGTAAAAGGGGTTATAATGTCCTTTTCTTTTTGGAATTATAATGAGATAGTATTCTTTTTATTAGTTTAGATACGTTTCCTGAATATTTTTTATCCATTCTAAAATTAAAATTTGTGAAACAATGTCTCGTGAAATTTGACGAAGTATTCTTCTCAATAAATATTAATTTTCGAAACATGTTTTAATTAATATTTTTGGTATATTTGTTAATAATTAGGATATTTTCAACTTTAAATAATTAAATCGTATCCAATTTTTCATTTAAACTTTAAACATAGTATTTGGATTTATAAATTTATATATACAAAAAATTATACTGATAATAGTCGTAAAAAACTCATAGTGGCAGACTTTTCTTCATAGTTTAACTCCTAAAGTAGCTATTTACCCGCAAATGGCATCTGAGAGTGAGTTTGAGAGAGATAAAAGAAAAAATATATATAATATTTTTTAAAATACTTTATCATTGTACAACAAAAACTATATAATATAGTTGTTGAATTTAGCTTAGTCTATAAATCAATTAAAAATAAAATGAAGAAGCTAGTAAATCGGGTTTTAGATTAAATCAAATAGCTTTGTCATCTTTCAAAATCAAAACCTATTCAGAATATAAAAAATATATAATAACTCTTTTTTTTTAATTGATTAAAAAATGTACCCTTTTAGAAATAACTCAATAAAAAAAAAATTAACAGTAGAAAAAGCAACTGTTATTCATTTTCTTAATTAAACAAAACACCCCTAGCAAACTTCTCAATCTCTCTCGAGCCGACACATTCGGTTAGGCTGAATTTAACGTCTTAACCGCCGATGGGACCCAGAATCCAAGTGGCAGACCTGTGAATAACACCAAAGCCAGTAAACCACATTGTCGTAATCTTTTTTTTTAAAAAAAAAAAAAAAAAAAAAAAAACAAGAAGCCTCAGATTTGTTCTATATAAGAACCTCACAGAGAACTCTATTGAGCAACAGCACTTCACTTCTTCGTAAGCAAGTTCAGTGTTTTTGTTTCCAGAAAACTGTTGTTAAAGGTTGTAAGAAGAATGTTCTTTGACTGTTTTTCTTGCGTTCTGCGCTGAATGTGACATTGTCGAGTAGAGGTGGTGGTGGTGTTCGGGTGGTGTTGCGGTGGTGATTGGTGGCGCCGTGTATTTCTTAGAGAGACCATTTTGGCCCACAATGCAGCTCTTGGGGTTATATGTTGTGGTGTTCTTGAAGTGTTTTTTTGTAGTTTTTGGAAAGCAATATCATACTCACCATAATGTGGCTGACTTACACTGGAAACCGGCCACTGCCACCTGGTACGGCAGTCCGGAGGGTGATGGTAGTGACGGTAAGAGCTTACTATACCCACTATGAGTTTTACCACTTCTAATGTTCATTCGTGCTATATTTTTCGTAGTGTCGGTCTTTTAGATCTTCTTTTACTCGGTTTTCTTGGTCAAACTCATAAAGTAATTAATGGAAGAAGTCCTGTTAACCGTCCAAGTTTTCTTTTATAACGAAGAGGACATTAGTCTAAAAGTTCATTATTTTTTTGGCGTCTTCCCTTTGTTCACAATTAAGCCAATGAATTGGCTTTTTGGAAGAAATGCTCTTCTTCTAAGCACAATTTCCACTATTTTCCTTACAATCGCATAAAACCAAGTTGATTTTTTGAGTTTAGTCTGGTTCACATTACCCAATTTATAGTACTGTAGTACAAAAAATCTGGACCTATATGGCATATTCTAAGCTTAGCAAATTTGAGATTATGTGCGATGATTATTTTTAAAAGTATTTTTTATTTAAAAATATATTAAATAATATTTTTTATTTTTTTAAATTTATTTTTAATATCAACTATCTAAAAATATTATGTCCAAAAAATTAATTTAAAAACAAAATCAATTATTTTTTTTTAAAAAAACAACACATTCACATAAACAAACACACAACCTGCCATTCCCAGAACCCAACATCTGCATCACCAAGGTATGTGACACCAAGTTATATCAATGTGCAGGAGGGGCGTGTGGGTACGGGTCATTAGTGGATGTGAAGCCATTTAGGGCCAGAGTTGGTGCCGTGAGCCCAGTACTCTTCAAGAATGGTGAAGGATGTGGGGCATGTTACAAAGTTAGGTGCCTAGACAAAAGCATATGCTCAGAAAGGGCAGTGACCATAATTGTTACAGATGAGTGTCCAGGTGGGTATTGTTCAAATGGTAACACCCACTTTGACCTCAGTGGTGCAGCCTTTGGTCATATGGCTATTTCTGGTGAGAATGGTCAGCTCAGGAACCGAGGTGAAATCCCAGTCATATATCGTAGGTATGGAGGGCTCGTGTTTTTATCTGTGTGCTATTTGGAGCAGGTCTTTCTGTTCCCTCTTTCAGTTTAAGCTCGACTGTTTAACTGTCTGTGCTTTGTCTTGTTTATTTTGCCACTGCCCTTAATAATCTCGAAATGACGTACATCACCCTTTTTTGTAGGACCCCATGCAAGTACCATGGGAAGAACATTGCCTTCCATGTCAACGAAGGTTCAACAGATTATTGGCTATCCCTTCTAGTGGAATTTGAAGATGGCGATGGTGATGTTGGATCCATGCATATCAGAGAAGTAACCTTCTCCTTCCTTAATTTCAATTTTTGTGCATTACTTTTTGGACTTCTAACACCCCCAGATACAGATGTAAAGCTGCAAAGCAGAATAAAAAAAAAGCACCATGCTCTTAGGCTCCAGAAAACTTGGTTATGTCCTCCAACTTTGTGATGCAAAGTGAGATTACATTTACTCCTTGACTCACAAAGTGCAAAGAATCTCTCATCTTTACATCTTCTAAAGTGTGCACTCTCACATTTAGCTAAAAAGAACTGCCTAAACGTGCTACTTTAGAACATCAAAGTAGTGCCCTTTTCATGATCTTAGACCTTTAATTTTCTGAGGGGAAGAGATTTCCAATAATCAAATGGCATTGTCCAACATCAACACATCTTTATTAAATAAACTTTGCACTTTCTTAACAGTTAATGAAAGAAAGAAATATACACACATTTGCTTTATTTTATGCTTGCCAATGGTGCCATTGTGCTCAATGACCCAAAAGCACACTTTGTTTCCTGCTTTGTTTTTATCTTTTCTATCCAACTATTTTCTTGACTCGTTGCATGTGACATATGGGCCACTTAAAATGACCATGGGAAGGCATTGAAATTCAAGTATCTGAAAAAAGAATCTATGGACAAAACTGGATTCTAGTGTCTGAAAAAGTGACCTAAATGGTGAAGGAATAAAGCTATAGATCTCAATATGCAAAATAGAAATTCGACGATTTTCTCACTGTTTTTACATTTGTTTTGGCAGGCAGGTGGCACTGAGTGGCTGGAGATGAATCACCTGTGGGGTGCAAATTGGTGTGTTATTAGGGGACCCTTGAATGGACCCTTGTCTGTGAAGTTAACAACACTATCAACAGGAAGAACACTGTCTGCAAGAGATGTGATTCCAAGAAATTGGATCCCAAAAGCTACTTACACCTCTAGGCTCAATTTCTTCCATTAAAATGCAAAGCTTCAAGCTTTTCTTGGTGTGAATTCACGTGAGAGAAACAAGCCCATTTTTCTAAAGTTCCTCTTGTTCAGTTGACGCAAAAGTAGCCGTTGACTGGCGTTTTTTTTTTTTAGAAGAGTAGCCGTTGGATTGCACAATTAATGGCATCCACCAGTGCTTATTCGTTCTTTCTTTTAAGTATTATTTGTGTCTTTTAATATATTTTTTCCTACTTTTGTAGTGTGGAAGTGTGATCACCAATGTAGCCCTCTCCAAAGGAGAGGGCGTGTAATATGTTTGCTATGCTTTTGTGTAAGTTTTTATGCCCTTTGGATTATTGATGAATTTGTACTAGAAATACTAAGGCTGTTAGAAAATAATGGGTATCTGTAAAATTTAAATTATTCAACTCTATCAACTCATTAAAGTTAATTATATAGATATTATAAATAATAGTGTGTCAAATAATTTAGTAAATACATGTCATAGATCAATTTAAATATTTAAAATCCGTTTAACCCAACGTAACCAGTATAACTTGCTAAATATAAGTAATTCTAAAATGTTTTTATATTTTTCTTTTTCCTCACCGCAGCTACTTGTTCTTTTCCTTCAATAATCTCTCCTTCAAATGTGTTGAATGCTTGTGCTTCTATTCAGCTATTTCCTTCCATCTCTTCTTCTTCTAGTTTAAGGTAGGATCTCTAAATTAGGTTTTTTATATGAATATTACTCATCAGAGTTTATTGTTTTGTATTTAGTTCAATTATTGTTAATTACCTGCTGGCTAGATTATATAGACTTGGTAACGAATCAAGAGAGATTGGTTACTAAATCATCATAGCTTTTACAGTCTGAATCCTTGGAGATTTTTTTTAGTCACCGTTGAAGCGTGGTGGCGTTGCAAATCCATGTCCAATCCTGGTTTAAAGAATGATTAGTCGTTCCATGTCAGGCCTATGGTGTAATCAGCGCAGGGAATGTAGGCCATGCATGTCAGTTTATTTATATATTTACAGAGGTTCCAACATGTCTTTTTGACATTCAAAAAAATTAAATGTTAATAATAATATTGATGTATATATTTAATAAAATAAATTGAAAATTATATACATCACGAAGCAGTGACTGGCATTCCTTCTGTTTCATTTCTTCGGTTGGTAAGAAGAAGAAGAAGAAGAAGAAGTATAAAATTTTTAGTAAAAATTAGGAGTAGCAAAAACAATCTGATTTAGGACAGGTGCCCTGATCGATAAGTTTAATTAAGGAGCTTTCATTTCTTTACTTTACCTACAGTAAATTAATATATGGAAGACAGACTAAAATATAAGAAAATTGGTAAAGGAAAGCTCTTTATAGTAATGCGATACAATCCTTGCTTAATGATCGAACACAATATCTAATATAATATAAACCAGTGCACCAATTCGTACTCTCTTTTTTCTGACAACTGCGGCTGTCCAAGTACAAATATTAAAATGGTTCAATTTCGGATACAAGTTTGATGTAACAAGACCCACAGTTGTCATTCAACCGTCGAGAACATGAAATTGCATCGGTTTCATTGGTGCAAACCCTGATTTCGATGAGAATTTTGGTTCCATTCTTGTCGCCGCACCTCATAGCAAAGGATAAACGGGGTATTTTTCTTCTTAAGGCTGTCACGAAACGCCGTCTTAGGTATTCAATCCCAGGTTTTATCCCATTAGCTCTTAAAGCTTGAGATATGTTGATGTTTCTTTTCAATGCCAAAGCTGTTCCAAAGTATAGTCGGGGTTCGAAGCAGGAACAAATACCATGACGAGCCCACTCCTTTTCCCAGAAAGCTATGTGCCCGTAACGGTACTCAATGGGGGATGTCAGGTTGGGCCAATTATTTTTCATTTCAGTGTAAAGCTCTTCACCAGCTTCTCCAGTGAACTGCACAAAATGAAATCAAAGATGTGTTGGAAGATTATAAAACTATAACACACAAATCATAAGACAAAAACTATATATTAAAAATAACAAATTACATGAGAATGAGTTACCAGATAATTAATTGGCCCTACTCGCCGATAGTTATTCAAAGTACTATCTTTTCTGTCGACAGGCCACCAGCCATGAATTGTTAGCTCGTCTTGGAGGTTACGTTGTGGACAATGTACTGAGGAATTTGAGCAAAAGCCCTTAGGCCATGTATGGACAAGCCAAAAATGATCGGGAGGTAGAGGAGGACAAGGTCTGGGTAAGAGAGAGTCCTTAGGCCATAAGTCAAGCGGAAAATGATGGGGAGAAGGATGAGGTATAGATTTTGCTTCTGTGTGGGAAAGGAGTAAACAGAAAAGAAGAAAATATGTCATCATTTTCACAAGGGTTTGTTTAACTTGAGAATGAGACTAATGGAGGGTGTGCGTGGAGCCTGAGATATAGATTCAATAAATTTTTTTCTTTAAATTTATATTTAACCTTTTTAAAAAATCAAAAATTAAAAACACACACCATCATAAAAAAAACAAACTTCATCCAAAAAATGTTAGATCAGCAAAAACAGATACAAATGAAAGATATTAATTGAAATATAAATTTAAAAATTATTTAAAAACAATACCAATAAAAAAATAAAAATAATATTTGTTGTTGTAACTTAATTTATTAAACATATGACTCAGACTTTGAACTGGTTTAATATTTTTTTTTAATTTTTTATTCAACCCTTAAAATAATTTAGGATTTTAACCATAAAATCAACCAGGTTTAATAATTTTTAAAAAAATTATAGCAAATCTTAAATAGAAAAAATAAAGTGAATAATACCCTTCATGGTAAAATTTACCTTACTAGAACCATAAACTTAATAAAGTTTTTTTTTTCTTTAAATTTAGAGCAAACCATTGAAAAAATAGTGAACAATATAGTATTCACCACATATTTTAGTTTATTTAATAATTAATAAAGTAATAATAGTATTAGTAATCAGTAAAAGTATTAGTCAGGACACCAAGCTCACGTGTAAGTCTTTGAGGCCATCAAGTACTCCGTACCATGTATGTTTTGAGCGCAGGACGCAGGTCTTCTTTGAGACCTCTCTCTGTCGTTTTGGTAATACACGGTATAGCTCGTATGAGGAAAAACCTAACACCTAAGCCCTGGGCGCTGTTTGGTATTGATTCCAAACTAAGTTTTTTAAAAATTTAAAAATTTCTTTTTTAAAATTATTTCTTTTATATTTTTACACTGTTTTGATATGTTGGAATAAATTTTTAAAAATTAAAAAAATATTTTTTTAATATATTTAAAAAAATTAAAAACTACAACATTGAAAAAAAACTTCAAAACTACTATATTTTCAGTTTATATCATCCCAATAACATTAAAAAAATAACTTTGGATTTTTTTGAAGTGTAGTTATGATTGTTTTTTAAAATATTTGTCATGCTAAAATACATCAAAATAATTTTTATTTTTTAAAAATTATTTCTCAAATAAGATATCAAAACAATCCAAAACATACAAAAATAAATTAATTTTAGCAAAAACAAATTAACTTTTTGAAAACACGGCTTGGTGATGGTATTTAAAACTCCCTCTGCAACGAATTTCAATGCTTGGTGGACACAATGCAACAGTATTTAATAGAAGGACCTAATTAAATATTTCTTACCAGTAGAGGGACCAATTAAAATATCTGAAGCCTCCTTTGCAGGTTGTTGTCTCACTTGGCCCATTTTAATCTTACAATGATCCATGGGATTTTATTCAAGTACCATCTTAATCTTACAATGAATATTCTTAGACGAAAATTTGTAAGCTGTAGTCAAGGCCCGTTTTAAGCAGATAATGGTCCATGAGCTTGCATGCTTGGCCCATAAAAAATCAAGTTTAGAGGGATTAAAAATTTGAAGTTCAAAATGACATTCATAAAAAAAATATTAAAAATTACTTACGCTTCCAGCATCAAAATGATGAAATTATATTTATTTATTTTTAAGAATAAGAAGTATTTTGACCTCAGTTCGCATATGAAGCCTAAAACATCCAATAGGTAGGAAGAAACTCTCCACAGTCCATGCCACAAGCTCGATAACATCTGTAGAGAGCTGAGCTTGTTCGCATTCAACATAATGAGAGCTTAAAAGGCACATAGGAATTGATAGAAAGAATTATCGGGTGCCATCACGAGCAGTGGCTGGTTCAATTTCAGCAGCTTGCTCACCTTCAGCAACCGCAGCAACAAGAGCATCAAATTTTGATGAGTCAAGTGAACTGCTCTTGGCAATGTCTTTAGAAGGTGAAGCAGGCTCGTTTTCATCGGCAGTTGCCGCTGCAGTCGCAGCAGTTGGTGTAGGAGGTTTTCCATTCTTGGCATCTTTCCCTTCATTTTCCCTCTTTCCATCTTTCTCACCTTTCACATCCTTGGCATCTTTCCCATTCTTTTCATCCTTCGCATCCTTTCCATCTTTGGCAGATGTGGGAGGGGGAGGCATCATGTGAGGTGGAGGGTTCTGTTTCAGTTTCACGAAAAGTTTTAAAATATTTATCTGCCTCTTTGCGAAACTTCTCTTGGTTTGCCAAGTACAGCTGCAGAAATGGAAACACAAGGATGAGGTCCTTGTGTATGGGTGTACATGATGAAACACAAGGATGAGGTCCTTGATATCTTTCTGAAATGGAAGAAAATGATGGAGACTCAAACGGGAAGGAGAGTTAAGACTCTTCGGTCAGATAATGGTGGTGAGTACACTTCAGATCCTTTCTTTAAAGTTTGCCAGGATGAAGGGATCAAGCGACATTTTACTATGCGCAAAACACCACAACAAAATAGAGTAGCAGAACGCATGAATCGCACATTGGTAGAGAAAGTCCGATGTATGCTATCACATTCAAGACTAAGCAAAGTGTTCTGGGGCAAGGCATTAAGTTATGCTCGTCATATTGTTAACCGGTTACCTTCAGCAGCATTAAATGGAAGAACCTCTTTAGAGGTATGGTCAGGCTCTCCTGCAAATGATTATGACTCTATGCGTATATTTGGTTGCTCAACATATTATCATGTTACTGAGTCCAAACTAGATCCTAGAGCCAAGAAAGCTATATTTTTGGGCTTTAGTGGAGGAGTAAAAGGTTACAGACTCTGGTGTTCTGAATCAAAGAAAGTGATTTTGAGTAGAGATGTCACTTTTGATGAGTCTGGCATGTTACAGCAAGAGAAATCACAAGAGAATGAAAAACAGTCTGGTGATGCACAACAGGTGGAGTTGGAGACTTCAGTCATTCCTATAAAGACTGTTCAGACAATCTCTACTGAAGGAGATTCAGATGAAAGTTCAGATGAAGAGGATGTAACAACTTCAGCAACCACACAACAAGAATCCATTGCAACGAGTAAACCGAAAAAAGTTATCAAGAAACCTGCTCGGTATTGTAACATGGTGGCTTATGCACTTCCGGTGATTGATGACGGAATCCCCTGCACTTACAAAGAAGCAGTACAGAGTGTAGAATGTGCAAAATGGAAAGAGGCAATGGATGAAGAGATGAAATCTCTCCACAAGAATCAGACTTGGGATTTGGTACAACTCCCTAAGGAAAAGAAGACAATTGGTTACAAGTGGGTATATGCTAAGAAGGAAGGTAATCCAGGAAAAGACAACATCCGTTTCAAAGCAAGATTGGTAGCAAAAGGCTATGCTCAAAAGGAGGGGATAGATTATAATGAGGTATTCTCCCCAGTTGTTAAGCATTCATCAATTCGTATTCTGCTAGCCTTGGTTGCACAGTTTGATTTGGAGTTAGCCCAACTTGATGTGAAAACTGCCTTCCTACATGAAGATTTGGAAGAGGAAATTTACATGTCTCAGCCAGATGGTTTCAAAGTTACTGGGAAAGAGAATTAGGCTTGTAAACTGAAGAAGTCACTGTATGGATCGAAACAATCTCCTCGCCAGTGGTATAAGCGATTTGACAAGTTCATGATAGAACATGGATACACACGGAGTCAGTTTGATCATTGTGTATATTTTCACAAACTTCTTGATGGTTCTTTCATCTATTTGCTCCTATATGTGGATGATATGTTGATTGCATCAAAGAGCAAAGTGGAGATTGACAAACTGAAAGCTCAACTGAGAACTGAGTTTGAAATGAAGGACCTTGGAGAAGCTAAGAAGATTATTGGCATGGAGATTCAGAGACACAGAAGAAAAGGCACAATCTGTTTGACACAGACCCAATACTTGAAGAAAATTCTAAAGAGATTTGGGGTAGATGGTAAGACCAAGCCTGTAAGTACACCTCTAGCTCCTCATTTTAAAATAAGTGCTTCAATGTCTCCATGCACAGAGGAAGAGCGCAAGCATATGGTTCAAATTCCGTATGCAAATGCAGTTGGTGCATTAATGTATGCAATGGTTTGTACGAGACCAGATATTTCACATGCAGTCAATATGGTGAGCAGGTATATGCATGATCCGGGAAAGGGTCACTGGCAGGCAGTTAAGTGGATTCTACGGTACATTCATGGCACAACTGATATTGGTTTGAAGTTTGAGAGGGATGATAGACTCGAACAAAATTTAGTTGGTTATGTGGATTCGGACTATGCTGGTGACTTAGACAAGCGTCGTTCCACAACAGGCTATGTGTTTACACTTGCTAAAGGGCCTGTAAGTTGGAGGTCAACTTTACAATCAACAGTAGCTTTGTCAACAACTGAGGCAGAGTACATGGCAGTAACAGAAACTTTCAAAGAAGCTATTTGGTTACATGGGTTGATTGAAGATTTGGGAATTGTTCAAGAGCACGTGAATGTCCATTGTGATAGTCAAAGTGCTATTTGTCTTGCAAAGAACCAGGTTCATCATTCTCGCACCAAGCACATCGATGTTCGATTTCATTTTGTTCGAGAAATTGTGGATGAAGGGGATATTCTGCTACAGAAGATTAGTACCGCAGATAATCCAGCTGACATGCTCACAAAATGTGTCTCAGGGATCAAGTTCCAACATTGTTTGGACTTGGTCAACATCTCTCGGTGTTGAGCACCTTCAGGGTGCAGCGCCATATGGCGCATTAGAGGCAGCATTGATTGATCACAAGGATTGGATGGAAAAATCTTGCCAAGGTGGAGATTTGTAGCAAATTGTCAACATTTTTTCTCAACCACCATCAACCACCCTCTCCTTTAACAACCACCATCAACCACCCTCTCCTTTAACAACCACCATTCAACCACCATCAACCACCCTCAACCAAGTTGCCAAGGCTCTCCTATAAATAGAGATAAAGAGAGAGCAATGTAATAAGTGTAGTGAAAGTGTGGTGAGAGCAAAAGGGTGAAAGTGTGGTGAGTGTAACTGTAAGAGTGAGAAAATACAGATTTGAGAGAAACACCGAGTGTAAGAGTGAAACTCCGGGTTAAGTGGGATTATACTGGGTTGAGTTGAGTGTTTGTATCATTCCTCCAATAATATACAATCTGCTGCCTCCATGGACGTACCCGATTTTGGGGAACCACGTAAATCTGTTGTTTGTGTTTTATTTGTGTTTGCTTTCGGTCCAGAATGCACAACAGAAAGCACATCCATATGTTTAACCTCATAATAAAGCTGGAAAGAATGTAGAAAACTTGAGTGCGGATCTGCACGTCGAAAGAAATAGGGAGGAAACAATGGAAAAGTGTCTTTACATAAATTTTACCCTCTCTTTCTCTGTTCTGAGCTTTGTTAGTTTCACAATTCTGCTGCCTTTTCTCATATAAAGCCCGTATATACTCTTCAGCTTTGTTGATAATCTGGTTTCTCATCTCCCTCTCTCTTTTCTCCTTTACCTCTAGACGGAGGCGTTCTGCCTGCAAAATATGTATGTGAAATCTTCATCAGCATAAGATGTCAAATTTTTATCCATACGATACCTTGCTTATCATCCCCTGCACATAAGCAAGATTTTGAACTTCCACTTCATACATGTATGTGATCAACCAAAACAAAAACCATGCAACTCTGCATTGACAATTCACCATATCAAAGAAAGCTATCTGTTGCAGCAAATTATAGTCTGTTCTAGTTTATTTTCATCAGAAAGGATCGTAAAAGAAGGCTGAAAACATCTCTAAGATCTCAAAAAGACAATTACAGAAATACAGTATAGATGATCAAGAAAAAACTAAGATTAATCTAGAAGATTTCGCCAATATTCCGAAGAACCTATAACGATTAAAAGCCCTCTTTTACATTACGATTTTGAATTGGTCATGGTGCAATACAAGTATGGTGTAATGCAAAATTAGCAGCATGTAAAAATCAAAGAGATTTTTAGTACTCTCGTTGCTTCATATCAACCAAAATCAGGGAACAATAAAAGAACTGATGGAAAGATGGACTCTTAACTGTTTTACTAGAAGACATTCAAAAAGCCTTTGAATGACTGCTTTCTATACCAATCAATTCTTCAGTGAAAAAAAAAAAACAAGAAGACTTTAATTTGATTGTTCAAACCCCTTTCAATTCTAACTAAAAACTTGATATTCAGTAAATTGGTAATGTCTCAAGAACAAGATTTTAAAATCAATGCCATGCTGCTTCCAAAAACAGATGGTTTAGGCTCCCATCATCATCAACTTTCCCTTTCATGGTCTCCCAAGGCCTATTCTAATGATAGTCTATCTATTCCAATATTAAAAAAGAGAGAGAGAGAGAGAATGAGATGATCCCAGATTTGTAAAATCGATGCTTATCTTCAATTAAATCATCCTATATATATAATTCGATCACCTTAATTCTCAAACATCAAATGACAATCAAAATTATATATATCAAATTTTCTCTTCCAAACATGAAACCATAGCCCCATTGCAAATTCCAAATGTACAATACTCAAATCCAGATCCAATCAAGAAAGCGAATATAACCCAATTCCACAAACAAAAACAAAACTCACTTGCGCCACTTACGGAATTTGGCTCCTAAACTCCCGCATTTCATCTGGTTCACGCAGAAGCGGCCAATCCCCACCCC